AGAAGCATATGAGTGAACGGCTATTCAAATGCCGTATCAATGGCTGTAAATTGAGTTTTAAACTGAAGGAAGACTTAATCAAACATAAGGCTAAGAAACACGTGAAGTATGTGGTCAATGGAAATCACAACTCCGTATTCATGTCTCAATTGCCTATTATTGATGAATACGTGTTTAATTGATGATTAAATATTAGGATATTATTTTCTTAACTTTTGTTACATTTGTAATAATGATTGTATGATTTGATTTAAAAGATATTGAGTTGATTTATTTGATTAATTTTATTTTATAAGTTTTAATGAACTTTTATCATTGAATATTGAGTATTTAAACTACAATTTAAAATTATTTTTACTATTTTTATTAATAACCAAGAACTGTATTTACTATATTTAAACAATATGACTGTATATTTACTAAAATTCAAACTTTATAATTCCTTTTAAATTGAGTGTTAATTCTAAAATAAATGAATTTATACATTAAATATACAAATGAACTGGTTTATTTAAGAATTTAAATGTTTAGATAAATTGTTTTCAATATTAATGAATAATTATGATATTACGGGAAGTGTTTATTGAGTTATACTTTATTTGAAAACAGTTGTCATAAGTTTAAAGAAGAAAACATTTAAATGAAAAGTGAAGTGATTTATGAATTCACGTCTCACTAAATGTCAGATCAGTTGACGACACATGAGGTGATGGTAAATAGGTCTCAAGGATTTGTTTACAATGTTTTGAATAAAATACGAATAATAAGTTTACATCAATATATGCGAAGCTCATGGATGTGCCAAATGGAGCACATGAATAGGGATTACAAATACTTTGGATAATATTCACATCAAATACCGGTATATTGTACTACACAGTGTACACACTTTATACAAGTTTAAAAATTATAGTATAAATACTGATGTATTTAAACTCATATTACAAATACAGGTATATATAGAGGTATATATACGGTATTATTAAAGGAAATATAAAACACAGAATAAAATGTTTGTTAATATTTATTGTGAATTATAGACGAATTGACAGAACTATGGGTTGAGTTGGGATGGGATGAGTAATGATGAGATGGTTGGAGGTAACTGTGCGCCGGTATAGTAGTGGACCGATAGCTCAGCCCTAATATATTCATTTGGTCGGGTGTGAGGGGACAGGATATGGCCGAGTCCTGCATTCGTCTCTTGCGTTCATAGGCCCAGTAGCCCAGCCCTAGGAATACGACCAGTAATGCCATCAATACGAGTGATAATACCAGTGACAATACGCCAGACATGGATGAGATTATAAATATCGTCAGAATTATTAGAATTGCTATTAAAAGGCCTGAAAGTATGCAAACACAACATGTCATCAATTCTTAAGCCGAAAACGTGTCACCAAATCAGCAATTCTTTTGTTGTATTTGGGTTTAGGTTTGGGTTATGTTTTGCAAGAATTTCTCATTTTTAGCTAAATCTCTGTTTTTTATTTCTTTAATATATTAATACTGTACTAAACGATGCAGTTATTTATAAATAGTGTATAACATATAAGTGCTATTTTATATTCCTTAGGAAATAACTGTAAAATAATGAGTTGCGAAATGTTTACTGTAATTATGTTTAAATTCTTGACGATTATTGGTTCTGTAATATCCTTCTTATTGTTATGAATATAATTAATATAATTGAGAATATAATTATTAAAGACATTACTTATTATTTAAAATATGGTGTCGATATGTAAATATAATGGGGGCTTACCTGATAATAATTCTATGCCCGCATACCTGTCCTCTAATTTTTGACGCACTGACGGCGATCTGATGAAGTGTTGAGCGATCATTATTTTTGGTGATTATAATTTAATTGGAGGAATATTTATTAAAACAGTATTAAAATAATAATTTTTGTAACATTTATTAAGTTAAAACACTGTATATTCCCGGAAATGTTCACGATACAATTAATTTAGGAAGACAACTTAAATTAATTACAAATAGTAATATAATCTTATAAATAATTAACAATAATTATAACTGACATCAAATAATAAAATAAATTCAAAAATTAATACACTTTTGAACAGAATTTTGAACACCAGTAGTATGTCTTATAACACGAGCTTTATTTGACAAAAAACAAATTTGTTTTAAGTTTCAAATACAGTTTTTGGTAATGTCATCAACATAAATCATTCGATACAAAAACCATTAAAACATCTGTGTCGTATAAAAACAAATTCAAAGAATTGTTGTTTATATATTTTACAACATTATGATATTTATATGAACAACATCTTAATTTAATACTAATACAGAATCTTTACATATTTGCAATTCCCTCAACTATATGAAGCAATCGTTGATTAGAAAACATGAATCCATTGACCGAATTCTGACTACAATTTGGTGTCGACTCTCTAATACATTATTTAAATAAGTTTTGGTATTAAGTTATAAATAGTGAAATACACTGTAATATGTATGTTATGTTGACATTGCATTGATTTTCACACAGTCTTAAAGTTTTAAATTCTGATTGTATGCCAACTCTCTCTCTCTCTCTCTCTCTCTCTCTCTCCCCTTTCACTTACACTTACACTTGACTTGACATAAGTTTTGTCATTAATTTTAATTTGCTTTTCGTATAAAAACTGATTACGAAGTGAACACTAACTACTGCTAAAAGTATTTAAGTTTTTCTAAACACATTTTATTGCAACTTTACACTTGACTTGACATAAGTTTTGTCATTAATTTTAATTTGCTTTTCGTATAAAAACTGATTACGAAGTGAACACTAACTACTGCTAAAAGTATTTAAGTTTTTCTAAACACATTTTATTGCAACAAATGAATGGAACGGTAGTTATATATAGTGTTGAATAAAACAAAATAAATTTTAATTTCAAAAACAATATAACATAATAGTATCAAAATTCTTAGAATATATTATATAACAAAAATAAATAAAATTTTAATTTAAACAGTTTTATTACTAATACCAAAATTTTTTTAAATAATTAAATACAAATCTATTTTTATAAAATAATATTAAATTTCAAATAAAATAATAACTTAAAAACATCTCCCGGTGCGAGCTATGGATCATTTAAGAGGATGTCGTCTCAAACGTCTGTATTTCATCATTTGTGTCGACTTTCACAAACTTTTTCAAATAAAATATACGACAGACTTCTTGCCTAAAGTCCGGATTATAGCAACAGATTATGAATGGATTCACACAAAGACTTCCCAAATAAAAAATGCCAATAATTATGAACTTCATAATAGAAACGGTTTGTTCGGCACTGCAATCAGCGATCGGATCAACCATTTGGACAAATGTCTCAATGAATATAAATGTATAATAAGGGGTTGTGATCACGAAATACCAAATCACTATCGATAACAACATTTCAGTTGTTTTTCGCTTATTTTTGGCCAACTTTTCCACTCTATTCGTAATAATCGTATTTCCAATTGCCTTCCTTTCCCTCACTTTCTGAATCACTTTATAATACAAATAAGCCGTAAATACAAGTGTTATAATATTGCATATAATATACACAATCGCATAATTATATCTATAACGAAAAAACGTCACATTTGTCTCAAAAATCACTTGACAACTGAATATAACAGTCTTATTAAACAAAATAATATTCTGTCGGTTAATGTTATTGAAAAGCGACAAACTTATTGCTATAATCCAAATGCTTGTAATCAATAATCTGATATTCATTTCGGAACTCACGGGTCGATAGAGTTTGCGATACCTTTCATAAGCGATGGCCAACATTGAAAAGGCCGACACATAGAGTGTCGAGTCGTTCACCGATATGATGAGTCCGCACAGGTATGCGAGCACTGGTGAGGAACTGGTGGCAANCTCTCTCTCTCTCTCTCTCTCTCTCTCTCTCCCCTTTCACTTACACTTACACTTGACTTGACATAAGTTTTGTCATTAATTTTAATTTGCTTTTCGTATAAAAACTGATTACGAAGTGAACACTAACTACTGCTAAAAGTATTTAAGTTTTTCTAAACACATTTTATTGCAACAAATGAATGGAACGGTAGTTATATATAGTGTTGAATAAAACAAAATAAATTTTAATTTCAAAAACAATATAACATAATAGTATCAAAATTCTTAGAATATATTATATAACAAAAATAAATAAAATTTTAATTTAAACAGTTTTATTACTAATACCAAAATTTTTTTAAATAATTAAATACAAATCTATTTTTATAAAATAATATTAAATTTCAAATAAAATAATAACTTAAAAACATCTCCCGGTGCGAGCTATGGATCATTTAAGAGGATGTCGTCTCAAACGTCTGTATTTCATCATTTGTGTCGACTTTCACAAACTTTTTCAAATAAAATATACGACAGACTTCTTGCCTAAAGTCCGGATTATAGCAACAGATTATGAATGGATTCACACAAAGACTTCCCAAATAAAAAATGCCAATAATTATGAACTTCATAATAGAAACGGTTTGTTCGGCACTGCAATCAGCGATCGGATCAACCATTTGGACAAATGTCTCAATGAATATAAATGTATAATAAGGGGTTGTGATCACGAAATACCAAATCACTATCGATAACAACATTTCAGTTGTTTTTCGCTTATTTTTGGCCAACTTTTCCACTCTATTCGTAATAATCGTATTTCCAATTGCCTTCCTTTCCCTCACTTTCTGAATCACTTTATAATACAAATAAGCGGTAAAAACAAGTGTTATAACATTGCATATAATATACACAATCGCATAATTATATCTATAACGAAAAAATGTCACATTTGTCTCAAAAATCACTTGACAACTGAATATAACAGTCTTATTAAACAAAATAATATTCTGTCGGTTAATGTTATTGAAAAGCGACAAACTTATTGCTATAATCCAAATGCTTGTAATCAATAATCTGATATTCATTTCGGAACTCACGGGTCGATAGAGTTTGCGATACCTTTCATAAGCGATGGCCAACATTGAAAAGGCCGACACATAGAGTGTCGAGTCGTTCACCGATATGATGAGTCCGCACAGGTATGTGAGCACTGGTGAGGAACTGGTGGCAAATGCACTGCAGAACCAACTGCGAGATATGGCTAATACACTGAACACTATCTCAGATATGACTTGATTTATAATTAGTAAATAAGTAGTAGTTTTCAATTGTTTTGTGTAAATAATGTTCAGAATAATTGAATTGAAAAATATTGCCGCAAAGAATATCAACATAAAAAATATGTAGAATAACCACTCGAATATGGGGTAACCTATTGTAGACATTTTTATTTTAAAATCACCAATTAAGTTTCATATTTATTCAATATCTATTAGGATTTTGTAAATGATATACTCTGTTATATTAATCGCTTTTAAATATGAAACAAATTTTGTCGTTTAGTACATGATTTGAATGAAACATTTTTAGAGGAAATGTTATTCCTTTCCCAACATTTTTAAACTAAAGTCTTTTCGATGGAAATAATTTTTATTACAATTAATTCATTTCCTTATCAATACAATTTGTGTTATACTTTATCCAAGCTATACTAGTAATTAATAACAATTTATTTTTAAATTTTTATTAAAATTAATATAATAAGAATTCTAAAACATTATTCAAATTCTTATTAAATATCACAAATAAATCATTTCGCTCATACATTTTCTCTATTAAAATACAAACTTAATTATTTTCTAAATAACTATTTAATTGATAATTTTTTAATATATAGTATATTTGCGGACAATTTAATGTGTTATTTAAAAAGTACAAATTTAGTCAATTTAGTACAATTTAGTACTTAATGTACTATTTATGTAAAATAATAATCTCATAGTACTGTTTAGTATTTAATATTTGTGTTTTAAAAATACCCTTTAATATTGCTTTTAGAAAATCATCACAATTCAGTAAATAGTGTCTGATTTTATAACATTAACTAATCATTACATTAACTAACAGTAGATATGGTGCTGTTGTCAGACATAACAGAATTACGTTTTTTGGGCAATAGTTTGTCAAAATCAAACACTACTTTATTATTCTCTGTATCCTTATTGGCGGCAAACCTCCAGTTCCCGATTTTGTAGATTATCACGAATAGAGTCAACACAATAGCCGTCGATACGGTTCCTATGAATACAGCCTTTTCCAGACAGGTTCGGGTCAGCGCCGACACCCATATCAGACATATTGTGAACAATAAAACTAAATTCACGCAAATATATCGCAAAATAAGTGAATATTTATTGAATGCTTAATAGAAATATAAATCTAAAGATAAATATGAAGTAAAAGGCTCACAGATCCAGTCTTTATGAGCCTACTCAAACTCAAACTTAACAGGCAGTTAAGAGAGAAGCCTCCGGTCTCAGTGGTCTTAGACACCCGGTCTGTAGGCCACGTATGGTAAGTGTGTGGGCTGGGTTGAGAATTCCGTAAACTATTTAATTGTTTGTAATTGTTATATAATTTGCAAATTTATGTCAATTAGCAAAGGATTCACTTTATATTTATAATTTTTAAAATGTTAATGTATTGTAATGTGGTTTCCATGGATTTAATTATTATTTATAGTAAAAACGTGACATTATTTTCCAGATTATGCAATGTGTGGTGATGTATGACACGTATGAATAGCCGATAATATTAAAATGGCATTAATTACTCCAATCATAAAACTAAAAATTAATCAAATATTATATTAAATATTGATTATTTTAGATGACTTTACTGTAGACATGAATATAAAATAATTTCATTATTATTCTAATTACTCAAATATGTCAGTATGTTTTAAATTGATTTTATTATACCTGTATAGACTTTAAATATAAATCATTGATTACTAAATTAGTATACGAACATAATCATTATAAAATATTATGAAAATTAATTACATGACACGAAAATAAATATGGAAAACGATATCAAATAATAGGAAAAGTGGTCAACAAATCAAATGCTAACCGCATAATACCAGTGAACCCTCATTAGTTCAATTGGCATCTAGGTAATATTGTATTATTAAAATTATTCGCAAATTATTATAATACAGAGAAGTTCGTGCAAATTGTGTGAAATATTTTTTATTGAAATAAATATAAGAATATTCTTAATATGCTGTTTGTGTTCAAATAAGATACAATCTTATTTTATTAGATTATGTCTGGTCAATGCCTGACACGTGTTCTCCACGTTATCACAGAAAGCGGAACAACACCTCTCATTCAGTTCACACGACTCCCCCAAAGCCAGACACGGGAGGTATGATAACTTAGGACCCGATGAATAGTAACCAATACCAGGGCCAGAGTAGGTCTCCATTCGGGGTATGAATCGCGAGGTTGACCCACAATAGCCGTATCGATGATATCGATGACCCATCACTCGATGGCAATAACCCCGACAACAGTCACCGTCGGTATAACAGCCCTCGCCTAAGGATTTTGATTATTATATTCAATATGACATAAACTTATTAACATTTATGTGAATTGTATATTTTAACTACCTGGGTAGTTACAGTCTAATAAGTAGTCAAATGCTTTACATAAATATAACAATGAAATACAGTGTATTAATCGGAATAACATTTTTAATGGCACACAAATATGTTTATAATTAATAATTTTATATTATATTACATTATACAGTATATACTGTATATCAGATATATTTAATTTAATTATTAGTAATTTTTCATACTTTTCTCTATACACTGTTATAAGATGTAGATATTTTTTACTTTTTAATGAAAATTTTATAATTATAAATTAGCTAACTGTACAGATAGTAAAGTTAATTATGTTTAGTAAACTTTATACTTTATATTAATTAACTATAAAATATGTGAAAACATTATAAATATAAAATATGACAGTAACATTTACTCTACAAATAATACAGATCTTATTTCCCATTTGATAAAAACCAGAATGTAATTGATTTGGTTTTAAATATTTGATTGTATAGATAATCAATTCAAATATGTTATGAGTTTTCAGATAAATTGATAATTTTTATAATTAAAATATAATTTATTTCCCATTTGATAAAAACCAGAATGTAATTGATTTGGTTTTAAATATTTGATTGTATAGAAAATCAATTCAAATATGTTATGAGTTTTCAGATTAATTGATAATTTTTATAATTAAAATATAACTCGAATTCATAATATTTATAAAAGCAATATAAACACAGTCTCTGAGACTATTGCACTCAATTTTGATGTGAATTATCAATATTAATACAAATAAGTGTTTTTATTATGAAATGAAGTTATGATTGGCTCTAAAATCTGCAAAATTCCTGTTTTTAGCGGCAATTAGTGTTTGTAAACAATAATTCATTAACCGATTTATTACTAAAACATAACACATTATAAGTACACCGAACCGATCAATAGCTGGTTCATTGCAATATTATAAATTGTAAACAATTATAGCAATTTTGTCTGATTATAAGGTTTAGCAAAATTCATGTAAAGTCATTAACAGATTTTTCCAAATCATTTCAATTGATTAATTATAAAATATTTTTAATTTATTTATCAAAATAGAAAATAAGTTATCAATAAATTATCGCAAAATCAAATTTTGCTGATTTTTAATAATGCTTAAACTAATCTTTGAAAGTACTTTAAATAATGATTTTGCAAATGAATACATTTTTATAATAAACTACAATATCTAAAGTATTAAAATATTTGGTAATTACGATATTATTATTAGACAACTCTAGCTTAAAATCAAGTAAAGTTACTTTACAGGACATTGAGATTTTAATAAATATGGTAAATTAATCCTTATAAAAATCCTATTCATGGGAACTTCATTAAATATCATTAATAATTAAATACGGAAACTTTTGTTTTTAAGTCTTTATTAGTGTTCATAAATTATTAATCATAAGAATTGTTTGGCCCTCAAATGCATCCTTTACAATTTGTCAAATCATTAAACATTTACGATAATTAATAATTATTAATATGTACTCTATTGTCATAATTACTATTAGTTATACACTTTGTAGACAATTGTCACCAAAATAATAAATAACTTCTTAAGTTGTTCTTACATTTTATAAGATTGAAAAATGCGTCCAAAAATGATTTATAGCTTGTTGCAAATATTTTTAATAATTCAAATAAAATGTGAAACAAATGGTATTTTATTAATATATGGTTTTTAATAAATCAAATAAATCTTATTTATAATAAATTGATTTCAGGTCAAAGGTCTCTAAACTCAGCTCAAAATACCATTCAATTACTGTTAAATTCATTGAATAACCATAATATGACACAACTTTTAGCTAATCTCATAACCAATAGACAAAATACTACGGAATCAACGACTATATCACCAAAAACGACAACTCCTTTAACTACGACTACTTCCCAAGAAAATCAAACACTGGAATCAAACTCAACAACAAATTCTTTGACAACACTTGCAATGAATACAACAGAAATGAATACAACAGAGACAACCACTTCTGAAAACACCACAAACACGACCACAACTGATGCCATAGACATCACCCAAGAAGCAAGTGCTGCGCCCATTGTCTTTCCATCGACTACACAGACAATCACAACCA